AGGCATATTACAAATTCATTGTTGATATAATATGTGATTCGTTCTGTGTGTTCGCCGAAGATATTTTTGTGTATACTACTTGTTTACTGTTTAGTGTCTTGCATTTCACATAGTTCATTCATATTAAACATATCAAATGAAACGAAATTAGGGAGAGATATAATACTTAACATGCTTGTGGCCCTATTGTTTATGAAGATAGTTAAGGGTTGTAATTAACGTTAGATTAGTAAAATGCATAAACATTACTTACGTCATCATTCGTCTCATGTTCCTGAGGTTGCTCCCACAACTGTGAAGCAGTCACATTGTTGAAGTCGTTCAGGGACGAATGCTTGAAGTCCTTCTTACCAAACTTCTTCTTCCTTTTCGGTGGCATAGGCAGAGTTTGTGACTGTATGGGAATATTCTCTGGGTACTGAATAACGTCATCGTTTGCGTATTCATGTATAGAATGCAAGTCAGTAGTGGGAGTAAAATCAAGGTGATTGTTGACGTGCATCTGCATATCAATATTGTCTTCCACGTCACAACTTATATGCTCGTCCTGTTGATCTTCTGGCATCCCCAAGTCTACCTCACTAAATTGCATACTGGCATTGACACTTTCGTCTATGTACGGAGTTTGCTTCAATTCCTCCTCCTCCTTCTTCTTTCGCTTCGCCCTCGACGGCCTAACTGGTGGAAACGTATAGTAGCCATCGTCTTTGTCATTCAAATCTTCAGTTGAATACCTCATCGGATCGTTGTCGTCGATCATCAGCTCAGGATCAGCATCAGGATCGTTGACGTACATGTTCTCGTCGCTCATTCCCGAATTAGTCCCTATCATAGAGAGAATATTCTTCGGGGTTTGAAAAGCTTTTCGTGTTTCGTCGCTCAAATATTCCCTTGTTTGAATATCTTCACGAGAAATACCTCTCGGTCGTACAAAAAATTCGTCATTATTTATTTCGGTTATGACATGTGTGTATTCTTGTTTAGATGGTGACATATCGGGTTCGGATGTCTGATGTCTGTCTTCCAGAGTACATACTTCAGGTTCGTCATCCATGTATTCAGTGTCCACTTTGTCAAAGTCGTAAGTAGTTTCGATTTGCCTGCCATCTTCCATCGCAAAGTTGTTATCATCATTATCAATGTTTCCATATTCTCGCGGTTGCTCAGGACTATCAGGAATAAAAGTAGGCTCATCTTTATTTTTCTTGACGCGTGTGAACGTGAACGTCGGCGGTGGAGTATCCTCTCTATTCAACGTTGGTGATGAAGATGTTTTAGGAAGTTCTGACTTCTTTTTTCTATTGAATAGTCTGGGGTATGTCCTTGCTTCAAACTCGACTGTAGCAACGTCAGTCGGTTCCACGTTCGAATCTGTGGAGTCTGAAGCAACTTTTTGCTCTTTTTTCCTACCAAGACTGTGAAAGTCAGGCATTTTGAATTTAGGTAGATCAGGGACGTTGAACTTTGGCCTTTCGGGGAGTGTAAATTTTGACCGATTAAGTTTTTCAGCTATATTAAATTTGGGTCTATCAGGTAAACTGAACTTTCTTCTGTCAGGTAATGTGAATTTAGGCCGATCAGGAAGTGATATTTTAGGTCTTTGAGGCATTTTAAATTTAGGCCTTTCAGGCATCGAGAATTTTGGTTTTTCAGGCATATTGAATTGTTTTGATTTAATATTTTGTAATTTAGTTTTTAATTTTCCGGCCTGAGATTTTAATTTACCTGTACCTTCTCTGATACGCTGTTGTATTTTACTATCAGTGGTTTCAGCATTCTTAGATCTACTGTCACGTTTCAATGGTAACTGTTCTAACGCGGACGAATCAACTTGACTAGTGCTTATTTCACACTCCGTGCGCGATATTGTGGACGGAGTGTTTACAAAATATCGATCTTCAATGTCTCTTTGTAATGCTTCAGCGCTCGTCATTCCTTCGTTCTTATCATCATGTAAATTAACGTTTTCGTCTAATTGTTCGTCCTTATCTGATGTGTGCTGCAGACATTTTCTTTCTAGTGATGTGGTACTAGATAACTCATCATCCGCTTTTACCAGTTGAGTTGGTTTGTCATCTACACTCGGAGCAGTGTAAATAATGTTAGGCGGTGGCTTTTCGATGATTTCATATTCGTGATCACTGTAAAAGATAACAATATTTTTAAAATTCAGCTCAGCTTTGCGGTAATAAACAATCGCATAGTTACTGATAAAATACAGTTCAAAAATCAAAAGTATTAAATATTAATTCGCGGAGCATTATAATACAATAAAATACATAATTTAAAAGAAATGCAAATCGCAAAAATTGTGATTCGTCGCAGAAGATTTGAGTTATATTTAAACTTCACACACGTTGCTCGAGTCACAATTAGGCCAACAGCCGGCGCTCGTTTTAGCCGCAGCCACCGGGCGAAAGACGTTTATATATTATTTTGCAGTTTGTAATTTTAGTAATAAAATGTCATCAAAACCGTCGAAAATGAATGTAGGTGTCTGACTTACCTCTCGTACGAAATAAAATTACTAGCTCGCGATGTCGGTCTAGTACCCACTGGATTCACTCTCTCCGGTAGGAGCGAGTCACACTGAAAGAACTGACAAGCGCATCGGACGTCTGGAGTAAATATTTGCGCGCTCCCTTCACGGGTAGGCCGCACAGGCCTTTCTATAGGAGTGCCACCTTCGGATGTCCATCGCCGAAGTGTAGTCATAACTACCGACTACCGAACCCAGGGCATATTTAGTTACGCGTTTCCCGTAAACTACACGAACTGTCATTTGCACGCGAACAATGAGTCATTGAGCGTGTTTGTCAAAGCTGGGCAGTAAATGAACTAATCACAGACGTGAAAGCAGCCGCGAGCACTGATCACTGATGACAATTTTAAAGAGCTTCCCCAATGTGCAGGAAGATCGGTCGGACCGAGCTATATTTAACAAACAGTCAGAAGCTAGCGCGTTCGCTTTGCATGTGTTGGGCACGGTTGTTATGTCACAGTTACGTATGATGTACTACTACTCACAAAGGAGTATACTATAATATTTATAAAATATATAATTACCTGCTGTGTTTAGACCATTTTCTGCTCGGGTATTCTACTTTCTGTCGATCGTCGGTTTCTTGTGGACTGGGGCTGGGTGATGATTCAATAGGTGTAGCGGCAGGTTGATCACCAGTCACCTCTGCATCTTCACCTGTTAATTCTGTAATAGTAATATTGGGAGATTCGTTGCTTGGTCCTCTTTCGTCTAATTGATTTTGGAAAATTTCGTCTACGTTGGGCTCATCAGGATCCATTTCTTCATCTAAAAGTATGGCCTCTTTATTCACGTTATCAATTTTATGCAGTTTCTCCATAACATGATCTTCTGATTTCAAACTCGTGTTTTCCATCACTAAGCTGGGATCTTGAGAGGCGATCGATTTTTTCTCCAACAGACTCTCATTTTCTTTATTGCTATTACTTCCAGTTTCCTCATCCAGTCTGATGGCACCCTGCCTATCGACATCTGGTGAGAAATGCACATCTTTGCCTTCTTCAATGTCTTCATAAATATGTTCTTTCTTTTTCCGTGGAGGCGGTGTGTCTACCACCATAGTTTTACTCATTTCGTCAGAGCTTCCTAATTTGATTGCACCGAATTTTTGTCTCCTTACGGCTCCAGGCGACGATCTAAGCTGCCTTATTTCTTGTGTGTCATCATTTTTCTTACGTTTCGATGTCGGTGATTTTTCATTTTCATTTCGTTCTAGTTTGTGTAAAGTTTTGTCTGCTAAATGCTTTATTTTATTCACTAATGGATGACAACATTTTGTTTTCTCTCTTGTTTCTGATGTTATTCCTATGCTATATTGCTGTTCTGGTACACGACGTTTCAGTATTCCTTTAGGGGATACATTTTTGGGTATCTCAACAGGTGCAGCTAAGTGGGAACTAGCTTGACTTTCGGGACGTTTAACTACGTAAGCTTTCACAGCCTGGTTTATAACATCGTCTTCAGAATCTAACGATATTTCTTTGGAGAAATTTGGTATATGCACTCCCTCATCTTCACCTTCTTCACCATGTTTGCGACTACTACCGGGTGAAGAGTCAAGGTTCAGTATCCTTTGGACGTCACCGTCCACCGGCGAGTGTGTCCGAGACCGTGAAAATTCTCGCGACATACTTCTTCTAGGTGTCGTTTCTCTGATGATATCTTCGGCAGTAATTTCACCTTGAAGTGGTGCCTTCAGTAGATGCGTCCATGGGTACTTGCCAGCTTCACGAGCTCTCCTCAAATCTTCCCATTGATATGTTTTTATAGGCACGGGTGGTATATCTTTCTCTCTATCTGGAGACAATTCAGATTCCATATGTTTAATTATTTAATTAATATAACTTGAAAAATATTTCTATGAATTAAATTTTGCCGAACACAATGTTTTGTATAGGGGTTGATGTTATTTTTGAAATATTAATCCACGAACCCCGCAAAATAATCACTTTTCACCGTATAAACTAAGAACACAACATTTCGTTTCAATGTGATAATCTCTGACTGAAAACACTTTATGTTTGCGTGGGCTCGTGTAGAAATAGGTGTGAATAAGTTGTGTACTATGATCATTGGCCAACAGATTATTTTGGACTAATGCACCGATGTTACCTTGAAGCGTTCAGGCCACTTCTCTCGTGAGTCCTCAGCTCACCATCCCTGGTGTTTGTTTGTTGACATGGGATACACTAGACGCGTTTTTTGTTTTATTTATTTTTTTCCGATCGAAAACGATTGGCGATCAGCACTGAATCCCGGTTCAACTGGCCGACACGTCTTGGTCCGAGCAAGCGCGCTAAATATAAGATTGAGCGTGAATTTATTTTTGGTGAGTATTTCGCGTCATCAGTTAAAACTATAGGACCGTTCTCGATTTTTAGAGGTTATCTGTATGGTTTGAAATCAGAGATGATGGGGTTATATTAATGAATGAAAGGGGCAGTTTTGTGTTGGTCGGGTTGGAAGTGAACAGAGTAGTTGACTTACCTATAGCACCTTGAACGAAGTCCAAATGTCTGGTGCGACTGGACGGCGGGCTCTGTTTGCGCGTGACTGCTACATTCACACATTTATTTATTTATGTATATATTGCTATACGTACGTACTCGTGCATTATGTAAGAGTATATGTGTATTTAACAGGTGCGAAAACTTTTAAAGGGACGTTTTATACAGTATCGAGGTATGAGGTATAGTGCGCTAACTTAATTAGACGAGTATTTATTAAATCAAGTGTTTGTGTATATAATACACAAATACTTGATTTGAATTTATATAATACAGGAGTATCCTTGAAAATTTCAGTCAACATTCGTGAGTTGATTGTGTTTATATTATCACCATTAATAAATTGTTTGACGTAATTTTGTTTTAAACCGTTTTTTGAAGATACTGAGAATTTTATGGTCTTTGAAATAGTTTCTGCAGTTTTATATCGCAATTATGAATATAAGCTATAATCGTATATGTGTTCTTCATAATAATCGCATGGTTATACCACAGTTTCAAATCCAGGGATAATCGGACAGAACTGCTAACAGGGTCCTTCTAGATCTTATAGTGAGTTGCCTTTCTTATTTGTAACTGGTTAAGTTATGTAATGAACATTCCAGTATAATCAATATTCTTAAACATTAACTTTCCTGAAACATATGTGTAAATGAAAGGAATCAGTACTGAGTATATGTAATATGTTGAATTACCTCCGCGAAGGCGAAGTACTCAATGCAATATAGAAATTTAAATTTTGTTTCAATTAATCAAAGGATTCAATATTAAAAAAAAATATATATATATATTAAATATTTTTATTGGTCGGTTTGTGCAGTGCTTGAGTGATTAATTTTAGTATGTATGTTTACATGTTGCGGTCCCGAGTCACAAAAGGAACATTATTTGTGAAATGCAACAATATTTTGTTTCAAATATAAAAGATACAACTTTGTTACAACAAAAAAGATACAACAAAGTTAAAATACATAAATAATAGAATTAATTGTTGACGGAGTTTCTTGCTCGTTCTTCTCCATTCGATTCTACATTTTGGAACGAGCGCCTAGCTTCATTGAAGGATAGAATGACAGGCTATTATTTATTTTGTATTTGTTGATGTTTGTACCGAATTATGGTTTAATTGAAATAAATGCTTTGACTTTGACTTCTTTCATTTGGAATTTGAGACTAATATTTTGATTTCTGCGTCGCCTGTCTAAACAGTAGATAAAGAAGGTACCTATTTTAAACAAAAGAAAGCCTACACAATTAAATGTAGGTACCTAGCTAAGAATAAATAACAACGTTAAAAATATTTAAATCCTAACAAAAATACTTTCATTAAATATATTGTCAAGTGGAGATTGTTTGTTTAAATTATTTAAGATCACATGAACTACCTCTACAATTACGTTTCTTACAATCCCTCGCTTTATATTCTCTATCTCTGCCTACACCGTGGTTAAAATACATGCCTTATTTTTGAACAAGTTAAGTAGGTATGATGTCAATGCAAGATAGACCTTAATCCAATTACTTTTGTAGTGAACTTTCAGTGTAGGGGTTGGGATTCCGAAGACAACTTAACTTTAAGGCCATCTGTGGCCATCAGAGCGTAAATTTCTATCGTCGGTTTCTACACATTCTGTTCCAGCAAGGTGTTTCAGGCTTTCATCGTCACCGAACTTACAGGTTCCTTCAACATTGCATAGGTGTCGCTGTAGTCGTAGTAACTTTGGCGCCAGTGTAAGCACTTAACACTTATTTAAAAATATCTGGATTTTGGGGCCACTAATGCAGGTAAAAATGAAGAAAGTGTCTATAAACAATAGTGGTAGTAATTTCAAAGCTAATGTTTAGTTTATATATTTTTTTTAATTAATAGACAATTATTCGCATGTACAACGCCATCTTATTTGGGGTGTTCTAACTATTAGTGTAACCACCCACTAAGAGATGGCGTTGTCACCTAGAATATAATCGGTACTTGAGTAGGAACTTGAAGGCAAAAAATTCTAATATTATGTATTTTTTTGACTACTGCCTTTAACCTGGAGGTTTGCTTATGTTGGCAAGATAATAGATGACTTCAAGGTCCGAGTGAAAAGGTTGCTTATGGATCGACATACTCCATCGTACGCCACATCATTGCTTACCGTTACCACCAGGCGAGATAGTAGTCAAACAGTCAGTCCCATCTAATATAAAAAAAATAGCTTAGGTCTCAATCCAGACTAAATTAGGTATTCGGTGATTTACATTGCTTGTGATGCTACAGATTACTATGTAATTTCCATTTCACAACGCCTCTCTCTATGCTTGAATTGTATCAATATTATTAACAATTTTATTGATGATCTCTTATGTTTAAAATGAAGTCGCAGTTTTTGTTCTAGATAGGTGGTTATACTTACAACATTTTGTATAAATCTTGTCCGCCAGATAGGTAACAGTAGCTACCTTTTTAAAAGCTATTTTTTTTTTTATTAAAAACTTTGCCTCACTTTAGGATTTTCTCCTGTGTCGTGGGTGCGTTTACAAACATACAAGTTCACATACACAATGACATCCAGACCCGAAACAACAATTTGTGGATCACACAAAGTGTTGTTCCGTGCGGGAATCGAACCCGCGACACGTTGCACGATAGCCTTTTGCCCAGCCACCGCACCAACCGTGCAGTCAAGGTATTGGAAAGCGTTTTGTAGAAAAGTCATTGTATTTGATTGACATTCGACAAATGTATGAAACTTAGGACAAGTCAATGCATTGATTTTAAATACATTGAAGATTTTCTTTCTCTTGTTCAACTACCTTTTGAAAAAGAGTAGAGAGGATACTGAATGACACAGTAGGAGAGAACTAAACAAACAAATAAAACAAACAATCATACTGTAATGATTTCTTTTAATGCAATAAGCGATTTTTTTACAATGAATGTAAATAAAATTATAGCATTATGTGGATTGTGAAATGTATACATTTGTACAAGGAATAGAATAAGTGGTTTTAACAATAAGCAAACATAAAAATATTGTGTATAAAGTATCTTATGCGTTAGGAACTTGAAATGATATTTTTGAACGTACGAATAGACTAAGATACAAATTGAGACACAAATGTATGTGACTGTTCACACTTATACGGGTCATAAGTCGTCTGATGCGATACTGATTATTGTACTTTTTTATAGCATAATCCGGTAAACGAGCAGACGAATCACCTGATGGCAAGCAATCGGCGCCGCCCATGGACACTCGAAACACCAAGGTGTTACTAGTGCGTTACCGGCCTTTTGGGAATTGGGAATTTGAGGATTGTGTTGGATTCGGGGATTCGGGAGACGGGGACTAGGGGCATAAATGGGCCTCAGGTAACCTCACTCACACGAACAAGTTGCTTCACGTCGGTTTTCTGTGAGCCTGTGGTATCACTGCGGTCGAGCCGGCCCATTCGTGCCGAAGCATGGCTCTCCCACACATTCATAATAAAGTGTCACAATAAATTTTCCAATCACAGACACTCGCGTTCATACAAATACATCTGATTTATACGAGTGGATAGTGCATAGTGTTGTAATCTATTCGTACAGACTCACTTTTTTTAGCAACAAATAGCATACTTCCTTATTCCTTAAATATTTGCGGGAAAAATACTAAAATTAAGTTGGTCATAAAATCAATTAATGAAAGTGTGATTGTTTTTTAATATTTATTTGTATTATACTGAACAGTCGTAATAATTTATTTTTGACTATGGAAAGTACCCGATTATTGCGTACCAGCTGTAGTTACTTATTAGATACTTTTATATATAGTTTCAATTCCCCATATCCTGTATTGTATACTTATGTATTGTATACTTACATATGTATATGTATGTGAACTGAGGCCCTAGTACAAGTTGGTTTAACGTTTAACAAGATCAAAAAGGTCGCCACGATCGGCATTCTGATTGGCCTGCTATAATGAACCAACCAATCTGAGGGTTAATCGCGGTAACGTTTCGATATCATTAAACGTAATAGAAATTCGTACTAATGCCTCACATAGTTTTTGAATTATAAAAATTCAAAAGAATAATAACACAAAGTGGAAGAGCAAACTGACAAGATTGTAATAAGAAATTAAAGTCAGATGTTGTGATTTTTAATTACTTGGCATTAAGCCATGTTTGCCGACCGATCTGGAAATTATTGGGGAGTGTCAAACGCCTTGTTACTATGAAGATGATGATGATGGTTGATACCATTGACCTGATGGTCTCAGGTTCGATTCTTAGGTCGGCCCAAGTATTACTGGGTTTTAAAGAAAATTCCTTTACTATTGAGATTCCAGACTAATTCCAGAGAATTGTCCCTGGTACGTATATAATGGTAATACGCTCACCCCTTACTACATGAAACTCATAACAGTGTACCTCTGTCTACCCCTTCGGGGATAAAAGGCGTGATGTTATGTGTG